TAAGAGCTGTCTGCCTGCATAACCTTCCCAGGTAGTTTCTGTATGCATGGGGGTGAAAACTGATTTCCTGTGCCGATGGAGATGCATAGTCTTTGATGTTCTCTACCTACCTACCCATGGTCCAAGGAGATAATGTTAACAAAGGCTGCAGGTATAAGTTGGTGCAGGATCCCCTGTTGCAAGTTTAAATTTAGGGTTTGCTCATTTGGTGCATGAAGAAAAACAGATCTGTGGGATTTATTTGGGCTACATCTTTGAGAAGTTATTTTCAAAATCATGCATATTTTGAACAACTGTAATGCAGTTTCTATGCCAGTGATTTTATTCCTTAGTCCAGAGAAGGAGGAAAGGACTATTGGATATTTGAGGTCTGCGAATACTTGCAGGATAGGTGCAGAGGCAAAGTGGTTCTGTTTGGTTGCAACTAGGACAAGAAATAATATTTAAAATTATAAGACAGGAAGTTAAGATTAGGCACTAGAAAATTTATTCCAGTTGTTATAATGAAACCCTAGGTGTTGTTTGGAGAGTTGCATAGTTTTTGTAATTACAAGTTTTTAAAAACAATAGATTAGGCTAACTTCTGTCAGGAATGGGTTAAATTCATCCTGCATTTGGGTATGGGATAGACTAGATGATCTATCCTGACCCCATTTTATTACTAACAATTCTGATTTTGGAAAAACAGAATCTATGTAGATTCTGCCTCATGCATCCTGTTCCCAGTCTTGCAGGAATCACGCTTGGTATAATGGAATTATGGCCTCCTAACGGTAGAGTCTGAGCTTCCAGTTCAGGAGAGCTGCACTGCATCTCCTGCCAGGGGCCTCTTTATGCAAAATCGTGTTTGGATGACATCAATTATATAACATGTCAACTTTAAATGAGGGGTTGGGGTTTTTTTTTAAATAGGTCTAGGTCAGTTTTCATGTTTGCTTACTAACGGTTTTGATGTCAAATATGTAGTATGAATAAGAAATATTCTTATACGTGCCAGCCATGTGCTATGAATCTATGATTTGGAAGGCAAGCTGTGTTCTCTCTAGCTTGTTACCATCACTGAAAGATTCTGTAACAGAAACACAGCATAATTCTGGTAACACAATTGTTCTTGCCTGTTTTTAACAAGTGAATAAAGAGGAAGAGGGAACTTGCTTTGTCAGTAAGGTAAGCAGATACAATTCCAAGAAAATATTTACTTAAATGCTAATTTTACATCATTTTTTATTTAGTAACATTTAGGATTTTTGTTTGGCTTTAGGAAACACTAGTGTTTAATTGTCCTTCTGCAGTGGTTCAGAATTTTAAAGCATGTGGTGCCAGTTTTGATAATTTGCTCTGGTGAAAAGGAACTGAATCTGGACTTCTCAAGGACATTTAGTTAGGGTTAGAATCTCAAACTGCTCTGTATGACCTGGTTAAATGCTTCAGTTGACACATCATATCTGTATGAATGGCATTTCATAAATAATTGTGGACTGTTTCATGTAATCTGGTTCTTTAGTCATCTAAAGTCATCTTGATACTTATTTTAGTAGGGGGCATATTGTGTCAGCTTTTCTTCAGATGTCACCACCAAAGTCAGCCCTAAAATTAATTAGTGCTTCATACAGGAACGCAGATGAATGTGGTAAGGAATGGGTCTTTACGTTTGCTAGTACTAGGAATGGTCTGGTTAGTTTTGCTCTTTTGTTGGTTACATGTGGAACCTCGATTGGAAGGTGATTAACAACAAAGTTGTCTTCTGCCATCTGTAGCGGTTTTTTAGTAGGTAGGTATTTTGATTCTGACACACAAACTTTTTTTTGTTTTGGTAAAAATACTAAGAAATGTGTCTGCTAGTGGTTGTGGCAGAAGTCTGAGCAGTAGGAGAAGGAAATTATTATCAGGTTACTGGTTTCATGATGCTCATTTAACTTGGATGTCATGAAAGACATTGGGAATGTGTTTGTGAAAGCTCACAAATCACTCCTGATTTCTGAGACCTTCAAGAAAAACAAGAGAGAGAAGGCTTAGTACTAAAAATATCTCCCACCCTCTACCTTAGCTTCCAAAAAAAGAAGAAAAGCAAACTTGTTTTCCTGTATTTGTGCTGGGAAAATAACAAATCAAACCAAACCCCATTTTTTTTTCTCCCTACAAGTTGCTGTTAAAAATCATAGCTGAAGATTTTGAACATTGAATGTTTTTTTGGTTGGAGTGTCACATTAGCAATATTTCATTATTTTTGGGGGAAAAAAAATCTTTCCTTGAGATTTTTCAAGTGTTGAGGGATTTAGGGACCTGATCTTTTTTGATTCTTATTTATATGAAAAAGCTGGTTTTGGCTGAGTTTTAGAAATTCTTGATACTGTGTTATATATATATATGTATTTCAGGGAATTACACATGCAAACTAAAGTATGTTAAGGCTCTTGGTTTTCCCTGTAGTTGAGGCCCTGCTGCTGAAGACTGTCTTGGGCTGTAGAGCAAGGCAAAAGTTCTGCTTGATTTTTAGTAATTCATCATCTGGAAGAGAAGCTGATTTTAGCTCTTCCTTACTAGTTAAAATTTTAATCTATAGCAGTAAAATAACATGTGCTGGCTGTTTCTTCTGTTATGTAGTTTTTCATGTAGACAAAGTATTAGCCCCCTAAAGAAGTTGCATATATGTTACTGTAACTATTTAAATTTGGGCTTGTTACTTTAAGAGCTAGGTATCTTCTTCACAGTCTGTGATTGGAGGTACTGCTATTTTTACCTTCCCTGTCCTTCTGGGCTGCCTTTTCTTCCTCTTGATGGCTGCCTGTTTTCTGCTGTCTTTCTACTTTTCCTTTGAAGAGAAAACCAAATTATTTCAAAGGTAGTGCTCCTCTTTGGACATTAGTGAATCAGCAGGATTGTGAAAATTTTCACAATAAAAAAATCAGAATCCACATTACTGTGATAACTCCCAGGAAAAACGCTGTGTAAAATGCAGTTGAGTTGGGGCAGACATTCACAACATCAGTGGTGAAAGGCCGTAAGCCGCATCAGTGCTTGTCCTAATATACATGCACGTTTATTACTGGTGGTAATTTTTATGATGGCTCCATAGTCTCCAGCATTTGAATGAAACTGCTTCAAAACAGTCCAGACTGCTGTGAGCATACTGTACATCAGTGGAGAGCCGTACCCTCAGAATTAGGCTTTGTTATCACTCGCCTACAAATCATGGATTACACGATAAAGTGAATTAGCTCACTGAATGACTGATAAAACAGACAACTTGCTGCGTTCACGAGGGTCGGGGAATTTAATGACATGGATATTGAGCCGACGCAGGCAGCTTGCAAGTGTAGACGTGCTGTCTGTGAGGACCCAGGGACACTTCATCCTTTGTGGCAACTCTGCTCTTTGTACCTTTTGTTCTCTGGGTTGCCAGCCCCTGCTCTGCATGGTTCACACCAGGGAAATCTGCAGGGTAAGAGACGTTCCTCCACAATACAAGGAGAATAATATATGTGACTGCATGTGTGTGGCTTTATTTTACAGTCACTGCATCTCAGAAGCCTAATCTTGTATACTTCTTCCTTAAACCTTTTCTATACTAAACACTGCTATTGATCCAAATAAAATGATATAAAACCAACTGTATTTTAACTGGGCAGATCCGACATCCCCTAATCAGTTTTCATACCTTACAGCAATCCAGCCCAAGGTTATTTCTCACTGTTCTGGGCTACATCCACATGCAGCACTCTGAAGGTAGCTTCACTGTGACAATACAAAATGTTTCATGTTCATTTATTTTGTCAAACATGCAGGTAACAAGTGTATGGTTAGTGTGTATTGGCATAGCGAGATTCTGTGGTAGTTGAATGCACTCTCTTAAAATTAATAAACCTTTATTTTTCTGATCTACTTTTTACCCTGGATTTTTGCCTCTGAATCATAGCATCTACGAGAGCAACTGGTCCATTTGGTCTTTCACCTTCTGTTGTCTCAGTTTTCTTCCATCCTATAATCATTTCAACTGAGATTATAATGTGACTGGCAAGGATTTGAATTTCAGTTTGAAGACTGTGAGCAACCAAATGGGGACAGTTTATAATACTTTTAATAAAGAATGGGAAGTAAAATACAAAGAAACTCCAATATACTCCACAACTATGACATCTGCTTCTCTTTTAAGCAAATTTAATTACTATAATAAAGAAATGCTTGGTAGTTTGACCATAAAGAATGCAGTGTATACACACAGTTTTGTGTGTGGATACAAAGCCAAAAGAAGGTACAATCTCATCTTTATGGTGTTTACCTGAAAGGGAAAGCTGGTGTCATTTGAGGCATGTCCTAAAAAGGGGAGAAATAGTTGTTGGTTTTCACATTTTAGAAAGCAAGACAAATTTAAGACATGGAAGAAAGTAATGATTAACTGGACTTGGCTACCAGTTCATTGTTGCAATGGCAAGTTGTCTGCCTCACTGTGACATGTGTTTGCATTTTTCAGTATATAAAAAAAATCTGTTTTTTCACAGGCTGCATTGCACAATGGATGTAATGGTATCAATATTGAATAGATAGTGCCCTAAGTTTGCTTTTTTTTCTCTAAAATACAGAAAGGTCATGGTCACCATGAATTATGATCCATTGCTTCAGTTTTCACTTATTCTAGGTAGTTACTTTGTCCAGCAAAATGTTATAGTATCACTCTGGCTTTGCGCACCAAGTTCTTCAGTGGGCAGTACAGTGTTTGCATAGGTGTTTGTATAGGTAGATATTTTGTTTTGCTGTCTGCTAGTTTGTTTGCTAAGTTATGTGTAATTTCCCTTTAACTCTGCTGGTAAAGTCCAGTTTAAGCTCAAAAAAGTTGATACCCAATTTTTCTGTGAGATTTTAGCATCTTTCCATGGTGTGCTGTTTTCTGGAAAGCAAAAGCTGTACACCCAGTAAGAATTCAGGCAGGCAAGGAGGTGGTTTTATTTTTTTAAACCTTCATCAATTCTTTTCTCCTGTTAACTGGATTTTTTCTACCATAGGTCTCAACAAATGGCAGCATTTTGCATCAGACTGACGAGTCCTGTTGCTCCTTTACAGTGTCTGACAGACCACTGTGGATTCAGGTTGGGGGCACTGAAGTTATCAGTGAAATTGGCAGGTCTATCTGGTTTAAGCCCTGCCTTAAGTGAAGGGTGCACTATGCTATCAACTAATCCTATGCAAAGCAGGTTAGGACAGAGGTAATGAGCCACCTGTTATTTTATTTCCCTCTTCTATTTGAACACTTCAGATACAGCTGTTCTCCCTGACCTAATCAGGATTGATATCTATTTTATTGAAAAGATCCACACTGTTTCTCTGTAGGGCTTGTGTCCTGAAGTTTGCATCATGTGATCAGATTAGATAACTTGACAGGTATAATGTAAAGGTTAAAAAGAAAAAAAAAAAAAATTTTTGTCTCCTAAACCAACAGTCCTCAAACAGCAAGGTACATCTAGGATGTACCTTGTGGGGAGTTCATCTGCTGCTTGTGACTGTAGGCACAGCTTCCTGCCTGGGCTGGCGTGTAAAAGTAAAATCAGGAAAGACTTTAGTAACATTTTAGTTTTTTACAGAAGTTTAGTACCTAAAACAAGAAAAAAAATTGAAAACACAAGCAGGAACATCTCAGTGAGAAACTTGCAGATGACATACGGACCAGAGTTGGGGAGCCACTCTTCTAGGAAAATGAAGTTTGTTTTCTTTGTTCTTCTTTTTTTTCTTTTCCAAAGCCCTGCTCTGAGGCAGTAACACTTAACAGGCATGCTTAACTTCCAGTGCATGCCTAAGTTCGTAAGGAAATTTAAGGTACATGTTTAAAGCCAAGCGGATACTGAACATTACTGGGAATTCTAGCCCAAATATGTGTTTACTACTTAGATGTGTCATGGATGTATGCATTTCTTGTATCTTTTTTTGACATGGAGAGGAAATAGGGCAGTGAGGAGAACATAAGTTGCTGTAAAGGGAGCTTGATTTACATGAAGTAATGATTTTTTACTTTATTAATATTAAAAAGTTTGATCCGATACTATATTATTGCATTATGTCTGAGATTAGATATTTGATATCCATTGGTTTCACATTTTATAAACTTGAGATTTGCTGCTGGTAAAACAGAAGACTGGACTATAATAGAAGATAAGACTAGTAATGTTTCTGGAGTGATGGCGTGTAAATGTCTGGGGGGGAAGCGAAGCTCCTGGTATTTGCTCAAGCTGTTCTGGGATCTCTCAACTGTAAGAATCAGAGTGAAAGAGAGCTGTAGGTGCTGCCTTGGGCAGGAACACGAGTGCCAGGTTTGCAATGAGCAGACTTTGCCAAGTATTGATTCTGAAAATCACTGCAACTGCATTGGTTGCTAAGTTGGTAGATGGGGTGTGAAAAGTAAAACTCCCTGTCATCAGAATGAGGGAAAACGTGTGTTAGAGTGAACTGGCCATTTCCATAGACCTGGTAATAGCGGTATGCCTGCTAAGATAATGGAACCAAATTTGTCTTGTTTATTCCTTTGTAGATTACAGAAGTTTGCTGGCTAGTAATAGTGTCCCTGAGGCTTGAATGTGGAAGTGCGTGTGTTGGGACATACTGGCTGAATGGTCATCCAATTTTTTAATGGGATTTTTGATATTTCTGAGTAGAGTCTGGTTCTCTGACATACTATAAAAGCTTCTCTTTGCAAGACTTCATGGACACATAATAGTGATTTAATATTAATCTTATTTTGGATAATTTCTTACTGGTCATATGCTTTAATACCCAATATTGGTTGTTTTGCAGCCTGGAATACTGTGGTTTTTAGTAACCTGCACCAACAGTAAGTACTATTGAACACAGTGGAACTTTGTCTAGCATCCTTGTCTTTGCAGAGGCTCTGCTGGTTTATTTCTTGCATCTTGGACTGGTTCATAGCTAAAATAGGTTTAATTATATATCAGTTCTGAGTATGATACCCAAATGAGGACATAGTAGTTACTGGAATGAATGACTGCTAGTCCACCGTCAGCATATAGCAGCCCAGTGCATTTTTGCCTGGATCTGTTAAATTTCATAATTAGCCCTGATTGCTTCTGTTTCAACTTTCCAAAATTTCCTTCTATTTTAATTCTACTGCATTGTATAGGATATAAAATGAATTATTTTTGTGTGTTTTATGTTGTCGTTTTGTGGCACAGTGAGCAACTGAGCAATTGAGAAACTCCATAGTTAACCACTTTGTCTTCCCTGCCTCCTCCTGTGGTAGGACCATTTTCACAAACTCCTCTCTCCTACCTCTCATTTTTTATATTTCTTTCGGATATTATTCAGAAGAGTTGTCTGTTTAGGAAGAACTTTAGGATTTTCCACTCCATGCTATGAGTCTTTTTTAAAATTCAGTTGTGCTATTCACAATGCTGTTGTCAGTACCAAAAATTGTATACAGACCTCTCCAATAATCCTAGCAGTCAAAAGCTCAGCAGAATGGTAAAAGAAACCAACAAGACTGGCATGTTGGAGCCTTTTTTGTTCTCCTGTGTGTTTTTTGAGCAAAGTGATCTGAGCAGATGATCTCCAGAGGTCTCCTCCAACTTAGGTTATTCTAGAATAATGTTTTCTCCACGCTACAAGGGAGGCTGGTCAGTGCAGACTACCTAAAATGGTTACTGACTGGTGGTGGTCTCATGCAGGAGTTGTTACTTGGACTGCTTCTATCTGTTTTATCATAATTTTATTTCAGTTCTGTGGAGCAAATATGCAAACTTTCAGTTCTGTGGAGCAAATAAGCAGTAACGGAAAAGAAACATGATTAGCAGGTTAATACTAAAGTGCTCCCATGCACACTTAGGTCTTGCATTTAGATGGCATTACACTGTCAGATTTAGCTTTGTGTTGTAAACTACACATCATTGTATAGACCTTGTATATTAGTCTCCCTCCTTCGTTAGCTATCTTTAAACATCTTTAAAAATTGAAATTCTCTCTGGATGCTGAAACGGGGTGAGATTTAACATAGATTGGTACAGTAGCTCCTCTTAAAACTCCAGTCAACTGAGGAGTTTGTTCACTTGTGTATGTCTTGTGAAAATGTAAATTTCTTCTTTTTGTCTTCTGCACACAATGCAGAAAGCAGGTGAACTGGTAACCTTTCTGGCCACCTCAGATTTTGCTTACCTACTTTTGCAATATATACTGGAAGACATTTAACCATTTTCCCTTTCTCTCCCCTTTTCAGCTCAGAGACACTAGTCAACTGCTGTTTTTATGGAACCTCACTACACTGCCACGAAGAGCACCAGCTCATCAGGACTGAAAGAAATCTGAGACTGAATTGTCCTATTTTTCCTCTGATATCTTCACCAAGTAGTAAACATTTTTTGAAGGGGAAAGGGAGTAAATATGTTAAAGCGCCCCCTTGCACCCTGTTAGGGCACCTGTACCTAATGTACATTTTCTTTAAAATTTAAAAAGATGTTAGGAAATATTTTATAAAACTTTTTTGCAATAATTGACGCATGAAATTATTAAAGACTATATGACACTTACATGCAAGGAACCACTTGAATTATTAGTATGAAGAATCACTGCAAATAACTGGGTTTTTTTGTAATGTGACAGTCACGTTTGTATGTTTTGATAGGTGCCAGTGATGGAGCCAGTTGCCTGGGAAGTTGACTGTAACTTTTGAACTTTTATTTTAATTCTTAACTTTAGCATTGCAATTTTCCATTCTATGAGGCTTAGTTAGTATTTAGTGCAGGTGTTAGCAGAGCTGTGATCTGTGATCAAAAGCATGTCCAAAACCAATTGTATTGTAAAATATGAACAGTCCTGCTATATGAGACCAATATTTCCCATAGAGGTGATGGAAAGGACAGTGACCACAACTCCATGTATCTCTTATGGGAAAGCTCCTTCTGTGTGAATATGGTTGCATTTTATTTATGCTATTGTAACACTTAGGGAATTGAGGATTGTGGAATAACATTAAGAAGGGCTACAACGCAGAGAGCAGCATTTTGCTTATAATACTATAACAAGATGGGAATCATGAATGGAGAGTGATTAAATGGAATGGCATTTCTATTGCAAATCATGTGTTAATTTTTCCTTTTGACATAAATATTTTTCAGATAGGTAATTAGTAGAGCAAAGGTTTTATTAGTGTTACTGATGGTTGTTGATCTGAGTTGCATTGACTTATTTGAATAGCTGTAAATCAAAAAAAAAAAAGAAACCCAGTGGGCTTTATCCATTTTATTCCCCTCCCCCAAAGGTGTTTGGTAAGACTTATTTCAGTAGAGCTTGTGAATGCTGGACACGCTGCTGAAATATTGAGTTATTAATTATTAATTTATTTGTCACTAATTATTTGACATTGTGTGCACACTTTCTCAGCAGTATCATTTCTTACAAAGTGCTTAGCAGGGGATTTATTATGTAACCTGGGAAAATAAATATTTGTCTTGAAGAAATGAAAATGTGCACATAATCTACTAAGCAAATTTTTGTTTCTATAGAAGTGAAAAGACTTGTAGTAAACTCTTTTCCTCCTTACTAATATTCTGATTTGATTGGAGAAAATAGAGTGTCTTTGTCTAGATGATTTAAAAACCGAGATACCTTTCTGAGAGGCATCTGTATCAGCACAAAGGCAGTTTCACAGCCTTCGTGTATGGAGCCTGAATTAATCACATAGAATTTGAAGCTAGGACAACTCTACTGTTCGGCTTTGATATTGGCACCAGGTTTATACTTGTTAAACAATCGGAGAGCGGGGAAGTGAGAGGCTGGGACAGGCATCCAAACCCAGGATAGGCCTATCAGTGGTACACGCATGCTGAGGCAGTTCATGCTTCGTGCTGGCTCAGTTTCTATCTTTCGGAGGTAAATTCCTTATTTACACTAGAAATTGCATACTTGCTGCCCAGTTCTTAACTAGCTGTAGAATGCTGTACAGTAGGTTCAAATTGTGCCATTTTTTCATAATAAACTACAAATACTTTTTAAAATTTGAGACTAATCTTTGTTATACACTGCTTCTAATTTTTTACCAGCTGAAGAGGATCAGCAGTCTGGTCCTGTTTGTGACCTGAGATTTGACTACAACTTAATTTAAGACATGCAATTTGAGGAAAGGGGGAGCGATTGATGTCATGTATGTGCTAGCCTTTCACCTCCAGAAACCAAACCCCGATTGTATTGACAATGAATTGAGGGTCTTGGCCTAATAAATTACATTTTTACCCACCCAGACAAAAAAATCTAAACAAAAAAGCCACCAAACAACATGGCACAAAACAGTTTCTGCTCAGGTAAAAGGCCCAGGACTGTAATAGCAGGGTTATTGCACATTGGATTGAAAACTGATTGATGTTGTAAGTAGAAGCCAGTAGTGCCTGCCTGTGTGACATCTGACTCGTAACCGGTGCTCTTATTTCCTCACCTTCGTGAGCACTTGTACACAGCAGCTGAAATATAGAAAATACACTTAAGAGAGATGCAGGTATCTGCATTGGAGAATATGGGTATATAAGCAAATAGCATAAAAATAGACAAGGTAGCTAACTGTATTTGCATTTGTTTTCACAGAAAGTATTGCAGCCATTTTGTTTGAAAGCAGATTTTCATTTTGAAATGAAATTGTCAGGGATATTCTAATGTTAGACAATTACAGTAATGTATTGCTTTTCACTTTTTTGCTTTAGTTGCTTAATATTTAAGCTTTGCTCCGTGCTACCTTCTTGTCTGTATATTGAATGGTCACTATGCCTCTTTCATTTTGTAGACTTGAATGAGGAAAATATGATTCACCCTTTAAGGTTTGCTGAGAAGTAAATGATAAAGAATGTTGTGTAACATTTATTCAAATAAAGCCTTGATTTTTTTCAGTGCTCTTTTAAAGGGAAATAATGTTGAATAATGTTTTGATGTCTTAACTTTCTTCTTTTATTAGTCCTTGTCCCCAAAGCCTTTGGTTTATGTTAAAATTTTTTTCTGAATTAAACAAAGATTAAATGTAGGTTACTAGTCCACTGTTGGAAGTCTATGATGTGGACAAGTCTCTCTCCAACCTTACCTTTCATCATGTGGCTAAAAGATACTGAGTCATGCTCAACCAGCTGGATGCTTCCCACAAGCAATAGGGAAACATTTTTCATTTTCTTATGTAATTAGCAAGAAAAGATTATGTGTACATTGTAGAGACAGATACAAAGAAGCCCTGATGGCTCTGTTCCATGGCTGCGACTGAGACACACTAAGTCCTGGTTAAAGGAGGAAGGTGGATGTCATGGGAAGAGGTTGCTGCCCCTTGCAGACGTGACTCCAGCGCAGTTGGTGAGTGCCGAGCGAGCTGCAGAGCTGGGGGCCAGCTCAGGGCTGGGCAGAGCAAATCTCACTGCCAGCGGACGAGTCTGTGCTGTTGCAGCAGCAGCAAGGCACAAAGCAGCTGAAGCACAGAACAAGTGCTGGGCCTTTGAATACCTGTGTGCTGCCTGCTGATCTTTTATTTGGCTGGTTTTTACTGCAGTACTAACAGTTTCAGACAAGTCTGGCCATTGCAGGTAAGTGTAATTGGGTGTTTATCTATTTAGGGAAGAAATGCTTTGTGCCGAGTTGCATTATTGTGCCATGGTGCCCTACTGGAGAGGGAACAAGTTGTTCTGTAACAGCTCACTCGTGTACCAGAGCTCTCCATCACTCACACTGTCATCAGAGGTGGGCCACATCGGCAAATATTTCTTCAAATGGCAGAATATGTAGAGTTGCAGTCTCCCATTAAATCGAAGGTAGCATTTATACAGACTTTTTTCCACTTGCATTTTTATTACTGTAAAGAAAAGATGCCCTAATTTTAGTTAAGCTTCTACGTTAAACAAAAAAATAAGCTGCTCAGTTAAATTAGGTTTCCAGAACTTCTTATTTCAGGGAAGCATTTTTTTTTTTTTGTGGCGCACAGTATGCCAGGAGCTGATTGATGGCTGATACAGAAGTACTAACCCTTTTCTAAGTAAGGTGTTTTGTTGCACTGACCTGTTGTCGATAGTCAAGTCTTTCCCAAAAATTGAATTAACTTCTGGAGTGATCATGTACACTGTCTGTAGTGACTGTTGTTTGGCCCTGGGCCTCTGTGATGTTTTTGAAACCAGTTGGTGTCTCCTGTAACTGTGAGCAAACGTCCACATCTGTCTTGCTTGGAGCAGAGCTCCAACATACGTGTTTTTCTTTTCCTTCACTGGGTTGTTTCTTATTCTGTCCAGATTACAGGAACTCCCATCCTCTTTCTCTCGTTATTCATTCATTCTTGTGGCTGTTTCTCTTGAATTGGTTATCCTCATTAGGCTGTGGTGGAGAGGGGAAATCCTGCTGAAATGTAATTGCTCACTAATGGCTTTTCCTTTGTGACATTGTGTTGGTAGCGTCTCGCTGTGGGAGTCTGCTGCATTTGCTGCGTGACTGTGAAGCCCACAAGAGAGGTTAGCCAGACAGATTTCAGAGTTCTGCAATTACTCCGTTGATTAATCTTCACTCCAGTAGTTCGGTGACAAAAGTATAAAAGTAACCCAACCTTCAGCAATGAAGCCGGTCCTACACAATGCCGCTCAGTTATAGTGTTTACTGCTGCCCTGAAGCATCAAAAGGGTGATACTTAATGAGGGCAAAAGTGCACGGAGCAGCTGCTCGGTGCAGCTCCTGGCGCAGGAGGGTTTTGTGATAGCTTGCCAGCTAAAATGGGAGGGATCGGCACAGAGAAATAAGATTTCTTTTAGGGCAAGACCAATGGGTGGATTTCTCAAGGAAATCAGGTAGATCAGTAACAGATGATGTAGTAAATTCAGACACTGTCACATACTTGTTATTTTTACGCATTATGTAGTGAGGAGTGCAGTGTGAGGGTGCAAGCAGTTGCCTGCCTTAAGCCTCATCTACAGCTGAGGAAATCACTCGAGGGATACTCTCTCGTTACCTTTGTACTCTCTGGGCTAATCTCTCTGAGTGAGAGTATCCTCCAAGGCTGCTAAGAGTGTAAGGGGCTGCTGAGATGGGCATGAGGAAGCCCTTCTCATGCTTTTGCTCTTGCTGTTCAGTTAGGACTGCCAGCAGTCTGGAACGATTCTCTGACACGTGAGGTGTGGTTGATTGTTGTGAGGAGCACCCATGGCATGGCAGAGAACCAGAGCCGTTTTGAAAAGCAGCTCATCCCTCTGCTCAATGAAAGGTAAAGCAATGCTCAAAATGCTAATGAGTGTGCAAAGAGACTGTCAGCAGCACAAGACAGCAGTACCAGCAGGCCTCTAAGCAACTGCTGGGGCAGAAAGACGCCAGCGTGTGTATGGCCTCGGTATGAACGGCTGCTCACTGTCGTCATTTCTTTTCTTTTGCTCACTTGTCCTTGCTCAGGTCTTCGTAGGTGGATTTGTCATTCTCCCTCTTCATGCAGGGAGAGTGAGTGGAGCCAGGGCTTTCCGAAGGCGGTGTGCAGTGAGCTTCAGCGTGTGCTTCAGGGTGTCAGTAGGAAAAGGATCATGTTGTTTGCTGGTTCATACAGTGCTGGCAGCTGGTTTTTATTTGCATTCTGTAGCCTGTTTTTATGATTCTGCTCCTGCTTTTCCCTTGAGTGTTTCTGTGGTCTTTATTTTTCCTCCCTTGCTGGGTTTGGAGCACAAGCCATGGGCACTCCATGCTGGGCAGGCTGAACACCCCTGCAGATGTTTTTGGGGTGTTCTGAATTTGGGCTAAATATATGGAGCCCAGGAGGGGTGGTTCTAATTTTGAAATCCAGATATTCAGCTAAGAGCTCTGCATCTTAAGAGCTTAGGGACTGGAATTTCCAAATGTGGCTGTATTGGTCATTAAATATTAAACTAAGGCTGTGCCTTCTGGAGGGCTCATTCAAACACTGAAGCACTCTGAGCCATCAGAGGAAGGGGCTGGGGGCTGCAAAGTGTAAAAGGATGAATACTGGACCATGCCAAATACAAGATCCCAGAAATACTAATACTGCACAGATAGATATGGATAATCCTCTTGTGATTCACTCAGTTTGCTCTGTTAGCCTTTAGAAAGACAACGCTGAGAATGCGCTGTGAGAACAGGGGCTGGGGTAGCTGTACGTTGTACACCTTTTCGTTAATACTGCAAAATCATATCAGAAGCCATCGATCCTGTCTTGGCTTAGTAAACTTGCTGCTGGCTGCAAGTACCATGGACTCAGCTGTATCTGAGTGTTGAGGAGGGACACACAAGTACATTTGGGCACAGAGAGAACTGTCACTTCAAGGGCAGGTTAAGGGGCTGTAGTCATAGGCAGTAAATCCATCAGCTTCCAGCCTCCTCCTTTCCCATATCTTCCAAATACTTCAATTCCTCTTTCCTCAGGTGGAAAAGTGCCCCACAATGGAGCACCACAGCCAAATGAGCTAATGGAAATGTGTCAGTCTTCACTGAGATAAAGAAAGATGCACTTGTGAGAAGCTGTGCTCAAATGCAATTAGGCAAGCTGAGCCCACAGCCCTGCTGCCTCTCCAGGGGCCCGTTTTATCGCTTGGCACTCGCCAGCACCACTCCAGGAATACATTTAGGAAGCTCTTCTGGCAGCCAGGCACACAGCTACTGCCTAGACTAGATAATACCATTTCCCCCCCTCTTCCTGACATCTCACTTCACGGATGCATCAGTCTGCGGGGAGGGTGTAGCTGAGAAACACCTGCACTGCTGTGCTTGGGGTTGGCCAGGGCTGGGCTGCATTTCACATGCCAGAGCTAGAAACAACAGAAAAAAACCTGCCAGCCAGTCTGTGTTTATCCCAGATGCTCAGGCATTAGTTGTGCCCATTCACTTAAAAGTCTCATTTACTGTGGCTGGTGGAGGGTCACGTTCTTGGTCGGCAGCCATGGGGAACCCACAGTTGTGCACCCAGAGACCAGTGCCTGCCCAGTCACTGCAGGGAGCTGATGGATGCGGTGCCGGCAGTACTGGGAGCCAGGAGCAGAGTGTCGGTCTCAGACTAGGAAAGGCAAACCTGTATCTGCTGCATCCACTTGGGGAATACCAGCTTTGTAAATCACCTTCTCGAGAACCAGCAGATGAGGAATGGGCAGCTAAGGGGACTCTGGGCTGGAGTTGTAGCTGCAGATGGTGAAGTTTCCAACTTGGGGGGATTACCACTGAACATGCAGAATCAGAAAAATGTGGTTAATAGCTTTCAGTTGGTTTAGGACCTTTAATCTATAAAGGCCTTTGCTTTGTCAGGGTAGGCTGTAATGGCTCTGGCTTAATGCCACAGCAGCCAAGAGCCTGCCAATTTACTGTGCCTTAGCAGACAAACGGGCTGACCAAGCCTCTGCTGATAAAAGATACTCCCCAGCAATTACATCCTTTCGAGCAGGAGGCTGCACAGGTTTTAAAAAAAATAAGCTGCTGAACAAGAAAATTCTGGGATTCTTCCAAACAGGGAAAGCTTGTGAATGAGAAATGTATTAATGCTGCACATTAAATGTGCCCCTACACATCTTCACCTACTGTTAAAAAGAGGTGGCACTTTGATATAATTGGTTCTTGGCTGCAGCAGCCAGCAACAGAGCTTTGCTGTTGCTATAATCCCTTGGGAATAACACAGCTAATTAAAGCCTAGGAACTGGTGACCAGCAGCTTCTTTCTCTCCGGCTATGTCTGTGTTAATCAGAGGTAGGTAGATCTCAAGGAATTTTTGTGCTGAAATTTGCTAATCAGGGAAGGAAGGATTCAGCTTCAAAACTTGGTGCTTTATCACATCTTAAATATCCCAACACAACAAGCTGAAAGATTTCGGATCCCTGCTTAATAGCTGGACAGGAGGGGATTGGCAGAGCTGTGCTTATGGTAAGTCATGGGCATGGCATACATCAGTCCCATGGACTCTT